CTTCCCCTAATTCTGCTTTGGATTTATTCACTTCGTATTCACTCTGGTACATTATGAGTGAAGTAGTTTTCTTTAACATTGAAAATCATCTTCTTTCAAGGAGAACATTAGAATTCTTTTAAAATGTATATTTACATATTTACCCTAAAGTGAAACTTTTCTCTGTTACATTAAAAAAATGGTTTTAGATCACAGATTCCTGATGTTGAGAGGGGTTGAAGAGCATATTGGGTTGTGTACAATAGGTGACTGGGTATTATTTCTCTAAAAAAAAAAAAAAAAATGAATGGATAAAGCAGAGGCTAGTTTTCTAGTCATAGTCTCCTTTTATTGATTCAGTCATTCATTCATCCAGCGAAATCTCATTAATCATCTGCTTTTGCCATTCACTATGCTAGCAGTTAGATTGTAGTGTGAAATGAATAAAGGAAATCCCATTTTAAATGTAGTAAGGAGGTCTGAAGGAGGAGCTGTCATGCCTTACCACTCCACCTTAGTTACACACCTCCACAGGAAGAAGCAATAATCACAGGGGAAGAGATATACCTTGTATTTCCAAGAAGATGTGTCTCTACTTTATTACCCCAGTGGATGGAATGAAGATTTTTCTCTTTGCCTAGCAACAAGCCCAGCTAATGGGAAGCCATCACGACCCTGAGCTCTCATTTTCCTTCATGGACTTTTCATTCAAAACACCCCCTCCTATCTTCCTCTTTTTTCTCTATAAAGTAACTTTCCTCTCCTTTGTTTGCTGGACTTGCCTATAGTTTTTGCTGTAGTATGTGCTTGTTCCAAATCGCAATTCTCTGCTATTCTTGAATAAGCCCATCTTTGCTGGTAAAAATAACTTTTTAATTTTTTTTATTTGTAAGTGGTGACTTAGACCCTTATTGAAATCTATATGATGAATGTTATTAAGAGAAAGTACAGAATATGATGGGGACAGCGAGTTTTGAGATCCTGTTAGTCTAGAGCAGTGGTTCTCAACTGTCTTAATGCTGTGACCCTTTCATACAGTTCCTCATGTTGTGGTGATCCCAACCATAAAATTATTTTCGTTGCTACTTCATAACTGTAATTTTGCTACTGTTACGAATCATAATGTAAATATCTGTGTTTTCCGATGGTCTTAGGCAACCCTGCTAGCAGTTCTCAACCTGTGGGTCGCTGTAGAGCCCAAGACCATTGGAAAACTCAGATATTTACATTATGATTCGTAACAGTAGCAAAATTACAGTTATGAAGTAGCAACGAAAATAATTTTATGGTTGGGGCTCACCACAACATGAGGAGTTGTATTAAAGGGTCGAGGCATTAGAAAGGTTGAGGACTACTGGTCTAGAGGTTAAGGCAAGAATGGTGGGAGAGGAAAAATTAAACTGAAAACCTCAAGGATGGGAGAGAGACACTGGTTGGAGTGAAATTGGAAGTAGCAGAAACAGCATTTGTAAAGAAAGCATATTACCTTGTAGGAAGTGAAAAAACTTCAGTATGACAAAGGCAGTCAGTGGTGAGAGGAAAATTGTGTTATTTGGAAGACCTTGTAAAGAATTAGGGCGGTGGGAAGCCGTTGAAAGATTTTAGGTAGGGTAGTGATCCGACTTGCCCTTTGGAGGGATCACTTTGGTTACCATGTGGAGAACGAATTGGAGAATGGGAGCAGGTGAATTAGAAAGTGGTTGCAGTGGTTTTTGTGGGAGGTGAATGATGGTAGCCCCATGTAGTAGTTGTGGGGAGAAGTGAATGGCAAGAAGTTTTAATAATTGGTAGTAGGGAAACATTGTCACTCCTTGGTAGGAGAATGAGATCATAAAAGTGGTATTTCAGAAAATTGAATTCTTATCTGCATAACATGAATTGAGTGAGAAAACACTGAAAGGCTCATTGCACAAGTCCTTGTACATTAGGGTGATAGCTGTTGTGAGAATTAATTGGATATCAGTGAACTACCTTGAGTAAATATTCCTATAATGATGTGAATACTAAATATTTTGTTTTAATAACTTTACTGACAGCTTACTCTTGCTTTTCTGGGCCTATAATAGTGACTTTAACAATATGGAAGTTTATGTTTCACCCAGTTTAAAGAAGACTAGAATTTTTATATATGTCTGATTACCTGTGATCAATAGTAAAAATGAAATGAACCCGGGACTCTTCAGTCCACAGGTGGATGCTATATCCACTGAGTCAAACTAGGGCTGCAGTCTTTTTAATTTTGGCAATTGTGGTGGATTTTCAGAGCTAAATTTGAACTGCTGGTATTGCTCCAGGTGGTTCAAATTTATATCAAAGTATTACACAGGTCCTCTTGTATTTAATTGGTGGGTCCTCGCTATGTATGATCATTTCTTAATTATAATTCTTAAACTAAACTGTTACTTTTTCTCTTTTTTTTTTAAATTTATTTTTTATTTTGAAGGAATATTTAATATTAACATTGTGAGTTATTATCTTTTGCATATCCAAGTTACACATTTCAAACAAATCGTCATTTATATTTACAGTATACAGATGCAAAGCTTTAATTTCCCACTAAATCATCACTTTCTTAAAATGGTACATGTGATGTTATGAAATTAGCTATTAAGCATTCGAAATAGTGGAAAAGAGGTCCTTTCTTCAGTCTTTTTTTTTTTTTTTAATATATATATATATATATATATTTTATTTTTTTTTTTGCCCCCCCTCCCTCCCTCAAATCCCTTCCCTTCCCAGAGTTTTATGTCCATTGGTTGTACTTATGTGCATGTATAAAAGTCCTTCGGTTGATCTATTATCTCCCCCAGATCTTCCTCCCCTCCCCGCTGTAATTTGACAGTCTGCTTGTTGATATACTGTCTCTATAACTATCTTTTGGTTCATCAGTTTATAATGTTCTTTATTATCCACAAATGAGTGAGGTCATGTGGTGTTTTTCTTTCAATGACTGGCTTATTTCACTCAGCATGATGTTCTCCATTTCCATCCAAGTTGCTGCAAATGATGAGAATTCCTTCTTTTTTATGGCAGCATAGTATTCCATTGTGTAGATGTACCAAAGTTTTTTGATCCAATCATCTGCTGATGGGCACCTAGGCTGTTTCCAAATTCTAGCTATTGTAGATTGTGCTGCTATGAACATAAGGGTGCATATATCCTTTCTGATTGGTGTTTCTAGTTTCTTGGGATATATTCCTAGGAGTGGGATTACTGGGTCAAATGGGAGTTCCATTTTCAGTTTTTTGAGGAAACTCCACACTGTTCTCCACAGTGGTTGCACCAGTCTGCATTCCCACCAGCAGTGCACAAGAGTTCCCTTTTCTCCACAGCCTCGCCAACACATGTCGTTTGTTGATCTGTTGATGTTGGCCATTCTGACAGGTGTGAGATGGTACCGCATTGTTGTTTTGATTTGCATCTCTCGGATAATTAGTGACTTTGAGCATGTTTTCATGTGCCTTTTGGCCTTCCTTCTGTCTTCTTTTGGAAATATTCTATTTAGGTCCATTGCCCATTTTTTAATTGGATCATTCATCTTCCTTTTATTTAGTTGTATAAGCTGTTTGTAGATGTTGGAGATTAAACCTTTATCAGTGGTAACATTTGCAAATATGTTCTCCCACATCGTGGGCTTTCTTGTTGTTTTGTTGATGGTTTCTTTTGCTGTAAGAAAGCTTTTTATTTTGATGTAGTCCCATTTGTTTATTTTCTCTTTAGCTTCCATTGCCCTAGGGGCAGTATCAGTGAAGAAGTTCTTTTGGCATATGTCTGAGATTTTGCTGCCCGTGGATGCTTCTAGTATTTTTATGGTTTCCCGTCTGATGTTTAAGTCCTGTATCCATTTTGAGTTTACTTTTGTGTATGGTGTAAGTTGGTGATCCAGTTTCATTCTCTTGCATGTATCTGTCCAATTTTCCCAACACCATTTATTGAAGAGACTGTCTTGACTCCATTGTATATTCGTGCCTCCTTTGTCAAATATTAATTGAGCATAGTGATTTGGGTTGATATCTGGGTTCTCGATTCGATTCCATTGATCTATATGTCTGTTTTTGTGCCAGTACCAGACTGTTTTGAGAACAGTGGCTTTGTAATACAATTTGAAGTCTGGTATTGAGATCCCTCCTACTTTACTCTTCTTTCTCAGGATTGCTGTGGCTATTTGGGGTCTTTTATTGTTCCAAATGAACTTTTGGAGAGTTCTTTCTATGTCAGTGAAGTATGCCGTTGGTATTTTAATGGGGAGTGCATTGAACCTATAGATTGCTTTAGGAAGTATGGACATTTTGATGATGTTGATTCTACCAATCCATGAACATGGTATGTTCTTCCATCTGTTTACATCTTCCTCTATCTCTTTTTTCAGTGTCATGTAGTTTTCCGCATATAGGTCCTTTACTTCCTTAGTTAAATTTATTCCTAGGTATCTTAATTTTTTTGGTGCAATGGTAAATGGAATTGCTTTTTTAGTCTCTGTTTCTATAAATTCGCTGTTGGTGTATAGAAATGCCATAGATTTCTTGGCGTTAATTTTGTATCCTGCTACATTGCCGAATTCATTTATTAAGCCAATTAGTTTTTTAATGGAGTCTTTTGGGTTTTTTATGTACAATATCATGTCGTCTGCAAATAAGGATAGCTTTACTTCTTCTTTTCCAATTTGGATGCCTTTTATTTCCTCCTCTTGTCTAATTGCAATGGCTAGTACTTCCAGTACTATGTCAAAGAGGAGTGGCGAAAGTGGGCATCCCTGTCTTGTTCCTGTTCTTAGAGGGAATGGTTTTAGTTTTTGCCCATTGAGTATGATGTTGGCTGTGAGTTTATCATATATAGCTTTTATTATGTTGAGGTATGATCCTTGTACTCCCACCTTGTTGAGAGTTTTTATCAGGAAAGGGTGTTGGATTTTATCAAATGCTTTTTCTGCATCAATTGATATGACTATATGATTTTTATCTTTCAGCTTGTTTATGTGATGTATCACGTTTATTGATTTGCGACTTTTTCTCTTTTCTCAGTTGTCACAGGTAGTACTGATGGAATTGGAAAATCATATGCAGAAGAGGTAGGTCATTTTCAAAACTTTTTTTTGGTATTAAAAAATACAAAAACAAAATTTGTATAAAACTTTTTATCTGGAATTGTGGAAAATTTAGTGTAATTTTATTTTATTTTGTATAAATATGAACAGTTTTCATTTCTATTTATTTACTTAAATTTTATTTTTGCAATTACAGTTGACATTTAAAGTCATTTTATATTAGTTTTAGGTGTGCAGCATAATGGTTACACAGTTATACAATTCATGAAGTTATTCCTTTGATAATTTCAGTACCTATCTGGCACTATATATAGCTAGTATAATATTATTAATTACTAGAGTCCTGGTGCATGAAATTTGTGCATGGGGGGGTGTTTGTCCTTCAGTCCAGCCTGTACCCTCTCCAATCTGGGACCCCTCAAGGAATGTCCAACTGACTATTTGGATCCAATCCCATTGTGATTGGACCAAATGGGCAGTCGGGCATCCCTCTCACAATCCAGGACAGCTGGCCCCCAACCACTCCCCTGCCAGCCTGATCAACAATGCCTAACTGTTTCCCTGCAGCCCAATTGCCCCTAAATGCCCTCTCTGCTGGCCTAGTCACCCCTAACTGCCCTCCCCTGCCAGCCTGGTTGCCCCCAATTGCCCTCCCCTGCTGGCCTGGTCATCTCTAACTACCCTCCCTTGTCAGCCTGGTCGTCTTCAGCTGCCCTCCCCTGCAGCCCTGGATCCCCCCCAACTGCCCTCTCCTGCAGGCCTGATTGCCCCCAACTGCCCTCCCCTGCTGGCCATCTTGTGGTGGCCATCTTGTGTCCACACGGGGGTGGCCATCTTGTATGTTGGAGTGATGGTCAATTCTCATATTACCTCTTTATTATATAGGATATTTCTTATGCTATATTTTACATCCTAGTGACTATTTTGTAATTACCTATTTGTACTTCTTAATCCTTCACCTTTGTCACCCAGGCCCCCCATCCCTCCTCCCAGCTGGCAACCCTCAGTTTGTTCTCTTTATCTATGAGTTTGTTTCTGTTTTGCTTGTTTCTTTTGTTTTTTAGATTTTACTTATAAGTGAAATCATAAGGTGTTTGCTTTTCTCTGTCTGACTTACTTCACTTAGTATAATACCCTCTAGGGCCATCCATGTTGTGACAAATGTTAAGATTTTGTTCTTTTTTATCCTGAGTAATATTCCATTGTATATATTACCACATCTTTTTTATCCACTCATGTATTGATGGGCTCTTGGATTGCTTCCATATCTTGGCTATTGTAAATATTACACCATAATGAACATGGGATACATATATCTTTTTTTTTTTTTTAATATGTTTTATTGATTTTCCACAGAGAGGAAGGGAGAGGGATAGAGAGCTAGAAACGTCGATGAGAGAGAAACATTGACCAGCTGCCTCCTGCACACCCCCTACTGGGGATGTGCCCGCAACCAATGTACATGCCCTTGACCAGAATCGAACCTGGAACCTTTCAGTCCGCAGACCGACGCTCTATCCACTGAGCCAAACCGGTTTCGGCACATATATCTTTTTGAATTAGTGTTTTAGTTTTCTTCAGGTATATACCCAGAAGTGGAATTACTGAATATAGTTCTATTTTTAACTAGAGGCCCAGTGAACGAAATTAATGCAGTAGTAGGATCCCTAGCGGCTGCCATCCTTTGTCCTGCTACTCCCTCCCTTCCCCTGGCTGCCTGTCACCGCTGCTGGCCAGAGCCTCCTTCCCTGCCTCCAGCCTGCCCCACCCCTGGTTGAACTCATGGACAACTCCAAGTTGAGGGGACAATTTGCATACTATGCTTTTATTATACAGGATTATTTGAGGGATATCCATTCTGTTTTCCATAGTAGCTGCATCAATCCATAATACCACCAGCAGTGCACCAGAGTTCTCTTTTCTCACATCTTGCCAACACTTGTTCATTGTTGGTTTAATGATGATAGCCATTCTGACAGGTGTGAGATGATATCTCATGGTGGTTTTAATTTGCATTTCTCTGATGATTAGTGATATTGAGTATCTTTTTGTGTCTATAGACCATTTGTATATCCTTTTTGGAGAAATGCCTATTCAGTGCCTGTCCATTTTTTTAAAAATTAGAATGTTTATTTTGGTGTTGAGGTATATGAGTTTGGTACAAATTTTGGATATTATCCCCTTGTCAGATATATCATTTGGGAATATGTTCTTTCATTCAGTATGTTGTCTTTTCAGTTTATTGATGATTTCCTTTGTTGTGCAAAAGCTTTTTAGTTTGAGGTAGCTCCCATTTGTTTATTTTTTCTTTTGTTTCCCTTGCCTGAGAAGATATATCAGAAAAAATATTACTAAGAGAATTATCAGAGAATTTACTGCCTATGTCTTCTAGGAGTGTTATGGTTTCAAGTTTTACATTTAAGTCTTTAATTCATTTTGTGTTTATGGTTTATATGCTGTATATGGAATATATTGTGTAAGAAAAAACCTTTTCTTTTGGCGAGTAATTGGATAGTTCTCAGTTTTGAACTATTTTCTAAAAGGTGGCTATATTATTATATAGGTTATATTTCCATATTAGTTTATGAAATCATTTTCATAGGAAGGACTGTGAGGGGCAGAAATATATTGGCAGACTCAGGCAAAGGGTTCAAATTTCTCTGGAATGTAATGAAAGGGTAGGAAACCATAATGGTTTGAAGGCTATCATAAAAAGCAGGAACCTTGGCAGTACTCTTCAGGCCAGCTTCCCTGCTTTCCAGTTCCGAAAAGGCACCCACAGCCTATGACACTGCCCAGATGAGATGAAGATCCTGGCGGATCCACTGCATCTCTTATTTGTCACTCCCAAAGGTTGTTCTTTGTTTTAAAAAATCATCTTTTGTTTTCCCAGTTTATTTTAAATATCAAAACTACTGAAAAATTGTAAGAATATAATGAACACCCATATACCCTTCACTGGGATTCACCAATTACTAACATTTGCCACATTTAATTTTATTATAATTCTAATTTAGATCGGCCATTTGTAAGTTATAGGGATCATAATAATTCACCCTTAAGTATTTCAACCTGAATCTTTTTAAAAAGTATATATATTTTATTGATTTTTTTTACAGAGAGGAAGGGAGAGGGATAGAGAGGTAAAAACATCGATGAGAGAGAAACATCAGTCAGCTGACTCCTGCACATCCCCTACTGGGGATCTGTTCGCAACCAAGGTCCATGCCCTTGACCAGAATTGAACCTGGGACCCTTCAGTCTGAAATTCAATGCTCTATCCACTGAGCCAAATCGGCAAGGGCTGTTTGCTTTTTTTTTAAAATTTGGATTATCATATGGTCAGATTTTCTTAAAATGAGAATATGTCTAATGTCTGTTTTCAATAAAATGCACAGGTATGACTCAACTGTTTGGTGTCTTTTGTTATTTCAGTTGGCGAGGTGTGGAATGAAGGTTGTCCTTATCAGCAGGTCGCAGGATAAACTGAACCAGGTTTCCAGTGAAATAAGTAAGTTCCTCACATCACCCTCCTCGCCCTCATGATAAGAAAATAAATACAAAAGCTTCTTTTTCATTCTGTTAACAGGCTGTTTTTAAGGTGGATCATCAATTTTTTCAAATTAATATAGGGCCACTGGTAATTTGTTTAAAATGTCTTTTACTGACTCATTTAGTTTGTCAGGAATCAAATCCTCTGATTATTTTATCAGGTTGTACTTATACATTTTCTGTTGTTTCATTTCAGTATTCTTGTGTGTTTTTTTACTCATTGACTTTATTGTCTCTAAAGTGTGTATCATATATGATTGAAGAAAAATACAACAGATTGTGTGTGTGTGTGTGTGTGTGTGTGTGTGTGTGTGTATGTGTGTGTATGTCTGTGTGTGTGAGAGAGATGAGGAAACTATTTTGAACTTTATTCTTTGGTAGCTTTGCTTGAGACCTGACCTACATATGCAAAGACTTTTAAAACTGATAGCTAATAAATCAGTAATGTCCATATCCTTGGTAAAACTACTTATGTTCCCAGTATGGGGCCTACAGCTGTATGATGCTTGTGTACTTTTTTTTTTATTTATTGATTAGAGAGTACAGGGATTTGGAGGGGAAGGGAGGAGAGAGAGACAGACAGACAGACACACAGAGAGAAACATCATATTTTGTTCTACCTATCCATGCATTCACTGGCTGGTTATTGTATGTGCCCAGACTGGGTAGTGAACCCGCAACCTTGGTGTATCGGGATGATGCTCTAACTGAGCTACTCCTCCGGGGAGATGCTTATGCACTTTTACACCCACAAGTCACATTATTTACTTACTAAGAATTGGTTGTGTTGGTTCCCCAACTCACTGATGCATTTGTTATTAAATATTCTGTAAACGGAAGCAATCTTGGTGTAAAAAGGGGAGTTATTTCTATAAAAACTAAGTTGAATGCTCTGAAAAAAGCGAGAAAAGGGAGTACTTTCAGAAATTAGGGGCTAATAAGACAAGTGTGAAATATTGGGGAAATTATAAAAAGAAAAGACACTCTCTGATTATTTCATTTGTGTTGAAGCTTTAGTTGTATTTTAATACAACTGGAATTGCTATATATGAATGCTGCATTATGGGTGTGCTTTATGGAAGAAAGACTGGAATTCCAGCCGATCTAAACTCAAAGATAAAGGCCATGGCCCCACACAGAGGACTGGTGAATGAATTCTATTTATACGCGGTTTAAATGAAAGTAAAATGGCTACAATATGTATTTATCAGTGTGTAGGATTCCTTGCTTTAACTGACTTCTCCAAGTAGCCAACTAACAAACTGCCCCAATTCTTTGAGAAGAGGGGATTGCTACTGTATTTTATTATTATTTTTTCTCACCTTTTATTGAGATATATTTGACATATAAAATTATGTAAATTTAAGGTGTACAATGTGATGTGTTTTTATTAACATTAGCACCTACTACTAATATTTATATAGTGCGTTATTATTTATTACCTCACATGTATTATCCCCTTTGATCTTTGTGAGGTACATATTTTTGTCATTATTTCTTTCCAGACCATATCTCGTTCTATTGGACAGGTTGCACATAGATGCATTTAATTTTTAGGTGAAAAATGATTTTTATAGATTCCTAATATTACTTGTGTTAAATTTTTTTTGATCCTGCTGAGAGCACAGATCTTTACAAAGGCAAGCATGTGGTATATAGATACACGAGAAATCTTTGGCATTTAAGGATTTTAACTTCCAAGGTTTCAACTAGGTAAATGCCACTCTGAAGGTCCAAGACCGAGTATTTTGCAATTTTGCTGAGGTGTGAATTTAAATGAAGCTGGGACACTAATGAGCCTGAGGTGTAATTACTTAGATAGTAGGTTAACTTTGCATACTGTCTGGATCTTAGTACTGTTTCTTTCTTTTTTAATCCTAACTCGAGGATGTATGTTTATTGATGAGAGAGAGAGAGAGAGAGAGAGAGAGAGAGAGAGAGAGAGAGAGAAGAGAGAAGAGAGAAGAGAGAAGAGAGAAGAGAGAGAGAAGAGAGAAGAGAGAAGAGAGAAGAGAGAAGAGAGAAGAGAGAAGAGAGAAGAGAGAAGAGAGAGAAGAGAGAAGAGAGAAGAGAGAAGAGAGAAGAGAGAAGAGAGAAGAGAGAGAGAGAGAAGAGAGAAGAGAGAAGAGAGAGAAGAGAGAAGAGAGAAGAGAGAAGAGAGAGAAGAGAGAAGATTGACACATTGGTCAGTTGCTTCCTGCACACAACACAACAGGGGATTAAATTTACAATCTAGATATGTGCCCTGATCGAGAATCAAACCTGCAATATTTTGGTGTAAGGACAATGCTCCAACAACTGAGCCACTCAGCCAGGGTTTAGTACTGTTTCTTTCTTAATTGCCAAAATAAAAGTTCATATGCAGAAAATAGAAACTTTTAATTAAATGGAACATTGTATTTTTAAATGCTCTGATATGAATGAATCCACCATTGGCTTGATACAGAAACAAGAAAAGCTACCTCATGACACCCTTACAGCAAGTCCTACAGCCTGTACAAAAATTGCTTAACGAGTCAGAAGATCTACTTTAATGATATTTGAGAATTTGGTTAACTTATGATCTGAGGTGATATATGATTGTGGACAGAAATATGATCGGAGTAAGATTGGATCCTGTTCAAACAGTCATGATGGAACAGATGGTGATGGTACTGAATTGAATTTTATTATAAAGAAATTGTGTGTGTGTTTTTTCCTTGTTGAAAAATTTTAAAAACTTTTTTTTTTCTGGGAATAATAAAAATTTAATGGAAGACGTGATAGCCGACTAGGCCATTGGTTCTAAGCTGGAGAAGTACATGGAGCAGATTTATACATTTGTTTAAGTTTTCGACTCATTGTAGATCATTTCTTTGGGAAGATAATGTTTTCATGAACAGATCTATTCCAGGAGTGAAAAGGACCAGAATTTAATGTTGATAAAGACAGACAGACTTTGCTTATATTTTCAACACATCTTCTTTGAATACCTGTGTCCCAGGTGCTGTGCCAAGCAGTCAGAACACAGTGGTGAGTGAGGTAGATACAATTCTCGCCTTCATGGAATTTATATGCTAGTGGAAGAGACAGAGAAACAAATAGTTCAAAGAACAACAACAAGCAAAACAGAAAACCAGAGAAATAAATAATTGCCATTTGTAGTAAGAACCATTAAGTGAACAAAAAAGGAGCTAGAGAGAGAAAATGAAGAGGTTCTTATTTAGTAGCAACATGGCAAGTTTTATTAACTGTCAGGGTATTAAAGGGCCAGGTTAATAACCTCTTGCCCATATAATTATACTCTTGTTATGAAGCTGGAGCCTTTGTATAGGGAGTATTCACTTGCCCTCTTGGTATAGAGGGGGGTTGTGTTTTCCAATTTACATGTGATAAATCCACACCAACATTCCTGTTTCCATAAATTCCTGGATCCCTGCCTCTACATTATGCCAGGCAAGTTGTGACCTCACAATCCTATTAAATATGGGAACCACGATAACTCTTTTAAGAGTCCTTTCCAGTTGTATAAGCTAACCATTGAATTATAAATCTCTGGTAAGTGACTCATATTAAAAAAAAGAAAAAGAAAGAAAAGCTCAATCTGGTGTTATATTCTCTTTTCTTTAGTCTAACATTCTAGAATTCATTCTCATACAGATGTTCCAGGTTTCTACCAATATAAAATAGCAAAATCTTGCAATTATTTTTGTGTGTAAGTTACTACTTTGGTTTCTCCCAGAGAATATTTGCTGGAACCCTACCTATTATGAGTGGCAGTAAGGCATGGGCCAGTTGGGTCTTGAGAAGAGGAATTCTCTTGTAAGAAAACCACCCTTAGGTTATGGTGAGGTTATTATAGGTTCTTGGAGCCAGGGAGAGCTAATCTCTTCAGACACAGGCGAGCAGACTATTTCTATTTCCACTGGCTGGGGAGACTCAGCTTAACTTGGGGGTTCAGGAATCTTGGCTTCAACTGAGTCCACTGAGATGTCCCTATCCTTTCTCAGGATCTTACTCTTTCTCATTCTGTGCTTTCACTTTTACATGAAACATGATGAGTCTGTGTGGAACTCAACTTTCATTGTAATTCTGCACCTGGCACAGTTAAGTCTGATGTTAGCAAGATGAGCTCAGTGGCTATAAAACAAAAGTTTTTTTTATTAGGGCTGCCATAGTAATTTTCTGTTTCTCAGATCATAAATGTGAGCTGAAAGTTTAAAGACCCGAGCTTGCCGTTTTCTTTTGGTAAGCGTCCAAAACATTCAGAAGAAGCCCTATCATGTCTCAGTCTTTGTACTTATTATTGCCAAACTCAAATGTAGTGGTCATTTGGTTTCTTAGGGCACATCTTCAGTAGATACTTCATTATAATCAGCAACCATTGTTTATTTGATGAATGGTGATGCTACTACATAATGGATCAAATCAAAACAATACAAGACTTCTGAGAAAAGGAAACCCTCATGTACTGTTGGTGGGAATGCAGATTGATGCATCCTCTATTGAAAACAGTATGAAGGTTCCTCATAAATTAAAAATAGAACTGCTTTATGAACCAGAGATTCAACTTCTGGGAATATATCCAAAGAAACCTGAAACACTCATTCAAAGAATATATGTACCCCTATGTTCATTGCAGCATTATTTATAATAGCCAAGATTTGGAAGCAGCCCAAGTGCCCATCAGTAGAAGAGTGGATAAGAAAGCTGTGGTACATCTGGAATATTGCTGTGGTATATAGTGGAATATTGCTCAGCCATAAAAAAGGAAATCCTATAGCATGGATGCACATAAAGAGTACTATGCTAAGTGAAATAAGCTAGTCAGAGAAAGACAAGTACCATGTGTGTGGAATCTAAGGAACAAAATAAGCTAACAAATAAAATAGAAACAGACTCATAGATACACATAATAGACTGACAACTGTCAGAGGAGGTGGGGAATTGGTGGAGGTGAAAAGGTGAAAGGATTAAGCA